TTGTATACTCTTGGAAGTCAAGCTTCCTCTGTGCAAGGTGCCGTGTGCCCCGTCACATAAAACATAGAATATAGAAATAAGGCAATTAATTGAGCTCTTTGGACGGCAGGGTAAATACTCTTTAGACTTCTAAGAGGAAGCATATTGAGGATGAAATCAAGGTGAGGATGACAAACGTGCTTGCATAACTGCTAGTGGCTGGTTTGGCGACGATGATGAATTGGTAGAGATGCGAGGCCATTTTGACATGAGTTGGAATAATTCTTGAGAATCAGTGTCTACATGCTGAATTGCTCTGGTGGTTATCAGACAAGTCAAAGACCATGTTAAGTGTTCTAGTAACCTAGCTATAGCCGGTGGGTCTGCATAGCGTCCAAAGTAGCGTTAGTCGTCGACAAACTGTGAAAAATGAGCCATTTAATTCTCGAATTCGACAATTACGAAAGTTTTATATTCGTATATGAATTTGTGCATTTGTTCAATTGATGTACGCCTGTGAGTGCATCTCAGCGTAAGCAAAAGGAAGATCGAGACAAATTTTTGTCATTACTGCATACCTACGTTATGGGATCTTACGACCGGAATTACATACCACAGCCGCAACCAGCAGGTACTCGAAGACTAACTGCACCATCGTCGCCTATGTACCGTCCGCACTATGAACCAAACGGCTTTTCAGACTCAGGATCGGACAGCAGCGTAGAGGAGTCGCCGTCGTATCCGACATACTTTTCAGCAAACGATTACACCAAGCCTCAACGTACACTCATATCACCGAGTCCGGTAAATCAGGTTCCGATGGCTCCTTCTCCGTCTGCTCATCGTTCGCAGAATGCACTGGATGAAATGGACAATGTATTTGATATTGTATTCAAGCAACAAGCTATTGGCATGAAGCTTGGCGCTGACGAAACAAAACAATTTGCAATTGTGAAAGAGTGTTTTGAAGGATCTGAAGCAAAGCGATATCCTGAGATTCAAAATGGTGTGGTGATTCTGGCAGTGAATGGACAAGAAGTGAGCGGTTTGGGACTATCTCGTGTCCTTTATCGATTAAGAGAAGCTCCTCGTCCTGTAGTTGTTCGTTTTGGTCGCAAATTGACCCTCAGCTACTGGAAAGACGCAACGCTCGTATCCATGGTAAATACTAGTCAGTTAAACTACAGTAGCATGTATATTCCATCCGACTTTTAGTTGTC